CAGCACTTCGGCCGGAGCCAAATCGCCCAGCCTGCTTTGCGAGTCGTCTGTAAGTTGTGTAAGGCGCTTCATGCTGGCATAACGCACCCGGAAAAACTCATCCATATTGCTGGAATAAATTCCGAGAAAGCGCAGCCGCTCAATTATGGGGTTGCTTTCATCAAGTGCCTCTTGCAGTACGCGTTCATTAAATGCCAGCCATGATATATCGCGGGCAATAATGCGCTGTTGACCTCTTTTTCTCAACGGCTTTTTCTTCTTTTGGGGTAATCAAAAAACACCAATTCGGCCTTGTTATCAATTTTGCTCCAGGCCTCAGCGTTAAACTCCAAACACGCCACTCCCGTAGTGGGAACATTATCGATGCGGTGGTCTATGCACAAGTTTACAAAATCGGTGATGGTTGGGTTGTGACCAAAAAGAAACACGCGTGAATACTTATCGTTTATGCTTTGCACCACCTTTAGCATTTGTTGGGTGCTGGCCTCGTAGATCGATTTCTCAATTTTGATGTCGCTGTAGGCATAATTCAAGTTTTTGCAAAAAATTAATGCCGTATGCAAGGCCCGGGTAGCGGGGCTCGAAACTAAAAAATCGGGTTGCACCCCTTGCTTGTACAACCACTCAGAAGTATTGTACGCATCGCGAATGCCGCGTCCCTTCAGCGGTCGATCCATATCGGGAACATCGGCCTCCTTCCAGGAACTTTTGGCGTGCCGAACCAGGTAAAGCGTTTTCATGGGAAAGTTTTAACCGGTTTAAAAATATGGTTGAATTTAACCAAAAGGCCGGATTGCCGAAACTTTAATGAAAATTTAATACTGCGAAGGGGCCTGAGTAAGGTGGATTGCTCGCGCGGTTACAATATTTTATAGGCCTTTACTTTTCTTTAGCCTCCTCCCAGTATATATCCATTTCCTTCAGGCTCAGATCAGTAAGATCCTGACCCTTAGCCTTCACCTGTTCTTCCATGTACTGAAAACGGCTAATAAATTTCTTGTTGGTACGCTCCAGGGCGGATTCGGGATCAACTTTTACGAAACGGGCAAGATTAATTACCGAAAACAGCAGGTCGCCAAACTCTTCCTCGGTTTTCTGGGCATCGTTTTTGGCTATTTCCGCTTTAAGCTCGTCTAGCTCCTCCTCTACTTTCTCCCATACCTGTTCGGCTTCGTCCCAATCAAAACCAGCGCCACGGGCTTTTTCCTGAATGCGGGTGGCCTTTACCATGGCCGGCAACGATTTGGGCACGCCTTCCAGTACCGATTTTTTGCCTTCTTTAAGCTTTAGCTTTTCCCAATTGGCCTTAACCGTTTCTTCGTCATCGGCTTTCACGTCACCGTAAATATGCGGGTGTCGAGAAATGAGCTTTTCGCAGATGCCGTGCAACACATCGGCAATATCAAAGGCCTGTTTTTCCTCGCCAATTTTGGCGTAAAAAACCATGTGCAGGAGAATATCGCCCAGCTCTTTGCTTACTTCGGGCAAATCGTTATCCAGAATGGCATCGCCAAGCTCATAGGTTTCCTCAATGGAAAGCGGGCGCAGGGTTTCCATGGTTTGCTTGCGGTCCCAGGGGCACTTTTCTCTCAAGTCGTCCATTATATCTAATAGGCGACCGAAAGCTTCCATTTTCTCCTGCCGGCTGTGCATTAGTCTTTGCTTTTCTTCTTGGGCTCATCTTCGGCCTTGGCCTCCGAAGCCTCAGTGGCCTCCTTTTCTTTGGGGCTAATTATGCCCTGCTCATGCAAGAGGTTGTACCAATTGAACAGCTTTTTGAGATCAGAATTATACACCCGCTCCTGATCGTATTCAGGCAGTACCTCCAGCAGGTAATTTTTCCACTCCTCGGGCTTGGTGTTTTTGGGATCGATGGTTTTCCCCCAATTTTCTTTTTCGGCAATCTTGGTGTACACCTCAGGCAAGGGCACTTCTTCACCATACGTATAAATGGCAATGTCTTGAAGCGCACTAACATTTCCCGTTTGAGATACCGGAAAACGCTTGTTTTCGGTTAAAGACTCAACAATTACTCCTCCGCGGCTTTGGGCCACTAGCTTGTACAAGCCTGGCTTGCCGCCAATCGCTAAAATTCCTTCTAAATTCATCAGTTCTTTCTGTTATTTATTTTTCTCTGCTTCTTTCACCCACTGCTGTACTCTTTCCAAATCACTTGTTTCAGTATCCTGCAGCATGTTCAATAAATTTTTAGCATCGCTTGCCAGCGGATGGCTGGGGTAATTTTTTAAGAGGTAGCGATAAGCGCCAGCCGCTCGGGCGCGGTCGCCACGTTC